CTTTCAAGTTTCAACAGCGCAGCACGGCACGCCGCAGCTCGGCCCACGATCACGCCGGTGGCCGGCCTCCGTTCCCTTCCTTCCCACCACGGCAGCAACACCAACCAATCTCCTCGTCCCCCACTCGGCCACATCCCCCAAAACTCCACAAAAATCTCCGCTCCCAGTCCCCAAACCCGCTCGCCCGGAGGCAAGCAGCCGCCGCCGCCAAGCCAAACGCCCTTCCGCCACCGCCGCATCCCTCACACACGCCCCTCAGAAATCCCCAGCCATCCCCCGCCCGCGCGCCATGGCCTCCGCCGTCTCGCTCCTCCTCTCGTCCCCGCGCCCGCTCCACCGCGCGGCCCCGTCCCTCCTCAGCCCCCCCGCGCCCCGCGCGCGCCTCCCCCTCCTCGGCCCCTCTTCGGCCGCCGCGCTCCTCCCCCGCCGCCCCCACGGCCTCCTCGCCCCGCCGCCGCGCGCCAACAACGACAACAGCGACGCGGTGGGGGCGCCGGACCGCCTGGTGGCGGCCGTCGCCTACCTCTACCCGTTCCTCGACGGCGCGCACCACGGCCGCTTCCTCGTCGCGCAGTACCCGGTCTTCAACGCCGTGCTCAGCCCGCTCGGCCCCGCCGCGCGCCTCTTCCACTCCTCGCCGCTCACGCCCTTCCTCCTCTTCATCACCCTCTACTTCGCCGTCGTCCGCAACCAGCAGGCCTTCTCCCGCTTCGTCCGCTTCAACGCCATGCAGGCCGTCGCGCTCGACGTCCTGCTCATCGTCCCGGACCTCCTCGCGCAGTCCTTCGCGCCCTCGGGCGGCGGCATCGGGCTCGACATCTTCACCAGCCTGGAGAACACCGTCTTCCTCTTCCTGCTCGTCTCCCTCGTCTACGGCGGGGGCGCCTGCCTGCTCGGGATCACGCCGCGCCTGCCCATCGTCGCGGACGCGGCCGAGCGCCAGGTGATGTGAGCTTGCTCCAATCTTACCCACCACAAAAGGGAAACGGAATCTGATACACCCGAACATCTCCATGGTTCATTGATGTTTTTGGATCTTAATTCACAGGTTTAGTATAGTACAGTCGTTGCTACGCATTTAGTTGTAAATTCAATGGATGGAATCATGAAAGGCTGATACAATGGCATTATAGATCACTCCAGTGTATGACAAATCAGTTGAATTGTTATTATAGCTTTCGATACAAGCTGCATCCTAGGACCTCTTCTATAATAACAAAAGAAAAAATTGAGTTGAATGAGGGAGAAATACACACACATTGTACAAGAATCTGAACTGCATTTACAAAATCAGCAATAAGAAAATCCGGAAGAATTCTGCTGCTCTCCCAATAACAGCTTTCCTTGGTATATGAATGAAGCTTAGGTTAGTAAAATGTAACTGCAATATAAATAAAAGAATTGCATCAGTTGTGGTTTTCCTGCTGCAAAGTCCCTGTCTGAACTTCGCGATGAATGATTTGCCTAGTGTGTGACAGAGATGTAGCTTCAGTCGCACCGGAGCCTCTTGGCAACATGGACAGGTTCCTTGCCTTCGGTAGCCTATGAAATGAAGCAAAAATACTGGGTAAATGCTTGCTCTCTAGTTTTTTAGAACAATGAACAGGTCATAACATGATTTAGAAACTTTCTAAAGCGAACTTTTCCCCTTTGATCAGTAAACGTAGGTACATCAATGCATCATTGTACCTTTGAACTGTCATGTATATGAGCATTGGCTCTGGCCCGTCTATCCATATTGATCTCTACGGATATTTTAGTTTGAGATGGGTCTACTCCCGACTTCTGTAGAGCTTCTTTCAGTTTATGTAACAACCTGTCACAAGTCAAAGCAGTGTTCAGTTAGTTCCACTATATACATTTCTAATGGTAGCTTTATGTAAGCAAAAACAGTTTAGGGGCTGACCCTTGGGAGTAAGCACTAGAAAGACTCTGGCTGTCATCTTGCGGCATTTGTGTATCATGCTTGCTTAGCAGTCCGTTGCTTGCATCACAGTTTTGGTTCATGGTTGACATACTTAGCCACGGTAGCTGATTGGTAGGCATACTGTTCTCTGCATTTAAAGACACCAGGCATGGTAAATATAGCTCTCACCATTTACAAAGAACCCTGACTATTTAAATGTAATTAAATAATGCAGAGGGTGAACATAAAAGCATATGACTAATTTGCCAAATACCTGCTATGTTCTGGGAGGAACCAGGGGCTGTGCTGATTTCTCTTGCGCTTTGTGTGTTGAAGAGAGAAGCGGCAGGTGCACTTGCAATGCCTTTGGAACTGTATTGCTCTTTGTTCATGTCCTCTGTGGTAGCTGATAAGCCTCCTCCTTGGGCTTGACTGATGTTCTGTGAAATCATGATAAAAGTTACTATAAATGAAGGCATTTTGGCATTGATATATGATGGTTTCACTTCAAAAAGGAATTTATCACGAGTAAAATACAACTTTGTGCTCTCTGTCATCTGCAATTCCAGTATTTCTGTTATGGAATTTACCTGTGTGTTCCTCCAACGTGATCTGTAGTACACTTTGTCCTGCCAAGAATAAAAAGGTCGAAGGAGAAAGTAAGGTTAGAATCAAGTAAGCCTGCCTTTGTTTCTGGTAAAAACACCGCATATCGTACAGTGTCTATACATACCCATGGCATGCAGTTGGCATCGACGTTGTTCTGTTCAGGAATGCCTGACTCATATTTTTGGCATTTCTCTTGCAAGAGCCTTATGTATTCAATAACCTGCAATTAAATTGTTTACGGGGTGTGAATTTTGAAGTATAACCTGTGGACTGATGTGCGAAATTTACAAGATGCTCTGTGAACCTCGAGAAGGAAAGAAGCTTTATCCCTCTTCTGATCACAGTTGGGCAGGAGGTCTCGGAGTATGTCAAGCCTGAAATAGAGCATGGACAGACACTTAGAAGGTTGCGATCATATCCTAAGAACAAATTACTCCGGAATAGTATGCAGCACGTGTTTACTCATGAACAAATTATGCTTATCTCACTATTTCTATGGAATTTTGATCTCTGTTAGCTTGCCTGTCATTTATCTTGGTCCTCCGTCGCTGCTCAGTAGCGGAATGCTTCGATCTCGGGCTACTGGGATCCTGATCGGCACTGCTGCCGCTGCTTCTCCCCTCTGCTCTCGACCCTGAACATTCACAGCAATCAGTGTCTGAACCCGTATAACATACCTGGGTTGCTATCTGGTACGTAATACTCCTACTACAAAACATTTTGAACCAATCGTCTTACCTCTAGATCTCTTATTGTCGGTGCTAGAATCTTGCCACATTGTGGGTGTGGGTGGAGCACTACGAACCATAATTCCGGACCGTGCTTCATGCGCAATCTCCATTCTCGAGCCATGAGACACCGAAACGGACGGTTCCCTGCCGATGCCAGCCTCTTCCCTGCGCTGAGCGTCAGGCACTTGCCTGATGCTGAAGGTCCCGACGCCGCCTGGCAGCACATGCTCCCCCAAACCTGGCGCTGAACTGGCCGCGCCATCACCGGCATTCCCTGCGCCGTTAGATGGTTCAAGCGACTTCAGGCCTGCAGCGAAGTGTCATGTCTTCATGGGTTAGTAAGCTTCACACAACATGCATGCTCAGGTGGTGCGCACTCTTCAGATACCGGCTCATACATGCCATTCTGCTCGCCAAGATCGGCGCTTGGTTTTCAAAGCAAACAGGCAGGAGGATTGGACAGAAAAGAAAAGGTAAAAGAACACCGGCGTCAACGGAGACACAAGCATACGCGGGGAAAGGAAGAATCACAATTCACAAATGAGTGAACACCGAGGCCGCCCGCGCTTGCAAGGGGAGAGGCAAAGAGAAGCGACGGACGGTACCTTGCTGGCCGGAGCGCTGCCCGTGCTGGAACGCTGACGAGCCCCCGGCGCGGAGCGAGAGGAAATCATGGGCCGGCTCCTCCCCTGCGAATTACGCATGCACGCCATGGTCAGCATCGATCGACGGAAGGGAGAAGCTAAAAGAGACACGGAAGAAGACGGCGGAGTTTCTCCTGGCATGTGTTTACCTTGGAAGAGCTCCATTGCCGGGACAGCAGGGGGCTCAGGAGATCTGTCGGGGCCGCCTGCCGTCGCAGCAGCAGCAGGAATGACGGTGCCTGGATCTTGCTGCTGGCTGGTACTCTGTACTACCCCAGTACTGGCGGATGGAATGTTCAGCGGGTTCGGCTGGCAGAGCTTATTATAGTCGGCAGAGCGAGAGAGTCGGGGAGGAGAGGCGAGAGCGAGGAGATTGACAAGGATTTAACAAAGTGGGAGCCTGCCTGTCTGTCTGCTTGTGTTGTTGTATCTTCAAAAGTTTATACGCACAACAGCAAGGGTGCTCTCTCTCCTCCACGTCTCCTGCGCAACGTAAACAACAAGCAAATTTTTTAGGGTAATGACAGCAAGCAATTTGACGCAAAGACATCGGCGTGGCGGCCGGAGAGCGGAGAATTACGTGTCGGCAAAAAGTAATAGTACTACGGACACCGCCGGAGATGCACGGTGGATCGCCGGTAATCAGATGGATAGATCCCGTGCGCGTCCTCTCTGGAGGAGCGAAAGGAAAGGGAGCTACTGGCTAGGCTAGGTCGCGTTCGCGTAGTCGATCACGTGCTCCGCCGACGATGAGAGGCGTTGTGGTGGAGGTGGGTGGGCCTCCGCTAGCCCGGTCTTTCCCCCTGTCTCCACCGCTGCACATGCCGATGGAGGCGGCAGCTAAGCTAGGCAGCCGGCGCGCGCATGCATGCATGATCCCGCGCGCTCCCTCGCTATCTGGACGATCCCATGTCATGTGCCCAGCGGGTGAGCCAGCGGGACACCGATCGTCGGCACGGCACGCGTGATCCGTGCCGCGCGTCGCCATGATGCTGCTGTGGCTTTAGGCTTTACAACCTCCATCGATCGATCGAGAGAGAGAGCCAGCCAGCGAGTGCGGAGAAGATCTACCTACCGGCCGGCCGGCCTGTCTCAGAAACCGTCAAAACAGCCGGCCGGCCGGGTTGGGACCCGGGAGATCAAGCAGATCGATCATGCGTGTGCGCTCCCGATCCATCTGGGTCGTCTGCGTGCATGCCCCTGTCCCGTCCCTGTCTGCCGTGCATCGCGCGTACGTAGGTGCCGCCCGTGCACGTGCCAACAGTGGGGCTGGCTCGTGGCCGGCTCTCTCATGGTCATGGGTCCGTCCGTCACCTCAGGGGAACGACGACGTCCCTGTCATTCACCATGCCGCGGTGCGTGAACCAGCCAGGACGCCACTCAGCCGATCGCGTCTCGTGCCTTCCGCACGGCACCACCAGCTGATGGCACGTGAAAGAGAGATCGGATCACGGACGTCTCGCGAGCTGCCGGCATGGCGCGGCGAGCGTCAGATCAGATCAGATCGATCGCCTGCTTGGTTAACTCATCTCGCGAGGTGAGGTGATGGAGCAACGACGCCGACGACCTTTGTAGCTCTAGCCCTAGCTGGGGTTCATGCGCCCTGGCATGTCCGGCCAGTGGCTACCTAGCCTAGGCAGTACGCCGTAGGGGTTAAAACTAGGACCTAGCTAGCTCAAGCACTCAGCGGCAGCAGCAGCTGAGCACAGAGTCGTTGAGCGACAATGCAAAAACGACAAGCTAGGTGCGTGCATGTGCATGTGCCCCGCACAACCCCACGAAGCTTCGCGGCCGCTTCCTCTTGAGGCATAGCGAAACGATATACTATATCTAGATCGATCTGTGAAATGATTTGTATGATGGATCCCATCATTGACAGCAGGGAGGGAGGCCAGTGAGAGAGACCGACGTGCCCGGCAGGCCGGCCTCTGAGGTCTGAGCTCTGAGCGGAACATTCCCTCTGCAAACCCTCTGAGGAATCCGTTTAGGGATCAGTAAACAACTCCCCCACCCGATTACCACCACTAATAGTTAACCAGGCCCGGATTAGTAAAGCATATCCTGGGCATCGACAGTCGGATCTGAGCCTAGTTTAGCTTAGCTTGGGGCGCGCCATCACGTGGCCAACGCACCCATCCGTCCGCCCCTAGCCACCGCCAGGCAATTACTTAGTCGGCTCAGTGGCGTGCTGGTGCTTTGCTTCGTGTTGCTTGTCGTTAGCTGCAAAAGCGAGGCCCCGTCTCGACCCTGGAAGGGGATGAAACTCAACTGTTTTCATTTGGCGAAGTTCATGCGATCGACATTCCTGCGAGACAGCGAGAGTTACCGAGACAGCCAAACCAGCGCCACCGATCGGGAGTTGGCCAGATGGCCAAATGGTCGCGTGATCATGGATGTATTTTGGGTTTGGTCGCTTATTTTTCGGTTCGATTTGTATGTGCGGAACATGGATCTGTTTTTTAGGGGGGAAGCATGCATGTGAGCTCGGGGCCTTGGGAGTGCGCTGTCGCCTTCATGGCACGTGAGGCGCCTATCGTTTTGCAACTTTGGGTCGTGATCCATCGATCGATCGCCACCCACGAAAGAAAGTTCACCACACAGGGTTACATCACACTTCCCCTCTCGCACACACCACGGCAGACAGCGAGGAGGGAAAGTAGTGGCTACACGAACATAATTGTACCATCATATAGTATATTCCATTAGCCATTAGGTGAAGCAGAAGGTAGCAGCTGGAAGAACTAGCTACGAGAACCGAATCTTGTGAGGGCCGTTGAGGTGCCTGGCAGCCGCGGCCATCTGCCTGGTCGGGCCGTCGCCGGCGACCAGCTCGCCGTGGCCGCCGCCTTCAGAGCCGCAGCAGAAGCTCGCCAGCCACGACGCCAGCGCGGCCGGCCAGGAGAAGCTCTGTGCTGATTTGTACTCCATCATCACATGCACCTCTCCCACGATGTTGTTTAGCACTTGAGTTCTGAACTGGGCAAAAACTGAAGCGAAGCTTAGTTTGGCCGACTGTTGTGGTTTGGTCACACTTGTTTATTACCCATCACACCCCTTTTATAGCGAGATGCTCCGTGGAGACGTGTGCTAGCTGCAGTGGAGACGAGTTGCTTGGTGATGAAGTCGCAACGTGCGAGATTTTGGGTTGGTTCGTGGACTGCTCTCTGTCTCCCGCCGGTCAAGGCGAGGCAGTAAAGGTGATGTATGCCAAGGAACGTTCGGGTGTGTGTGCAGTGTCGACAGGTTCCTGGCGTGGTGATGCTGAGCTGCCTAAATGGAGGAATTCAACTGCGTGTCCTACGACTTGAGAGTCCAAGGCTGGAAAAAAAATGGCAGGTGTTTCTTACTTGCTTCCAAGTGCCAAGTCCAAGTGTTCAAACCTACGCATGCAGATTGACTCCTCCGAATTGCGACATGTACTCCATGATTGTTCAACAAGAAAATGCAACGTCTCTCAGTGCTACGATTGCGCGTCCTGAATGTACCTTTTTTCTTGCACGCACATTTTGCTGAAGTTGTGTCGAATATTGGACTTTGATTCGAGCTGCGTGTAGGCATGGTATGGAATTGTGTCCTAATAGCAAACTAAAACCACGGCGAGAATTATGAAACGAAGGGAGTACAAAGTAAGCTACGGCACGCGGCATGTTGTGCGTGAGACGCATTAGAAATGGACCGGTAAATAGCCTGGCATCTTGCACATATTTCTTGAAGAACAAAAAGCAAAAACATGCCGTTCTCAAACCGAACGCAGAAAACGGAGAAAGAAAGTTTAAGTCATGTCTTTTGCTCCTCTTCCTCCTTCTCCTTCTCCTCTATATTGTCAGTATTAGCACATTGCTCCTGCGTTGCCGCGGGGCCAAAAAAAGTTACATTACCGAATTAGGAGATCGTCCTCAAAATAAGTTGGTTTTTTGTGTGTAGAATTAGAAAAATTCATTGGGAAAGAAACTAAAACCATGAGCATGATTTTGAGTGAAGTCCCATTTCAACATTGTTTCTTCAGTTTTTTTTACAAGAGCGTTGCTCTTTTTTGTGCTAGGTCTGACAATGGACTAAAGGTACATTCATTTACTTAAGTCACTTGAAGGTTGCTAGTCCACATGTGGATAGAAGTGCATTTGATTATTCTGTTGTTGGTTTCGCATGTGTTGTAAGTGCATCTAGTGCCTCCTGAGGGTTTTGGATGATTAATGACAAAACAGTTGAGGGGCTAATGTGTTTGTTAGTATACACAGGTGAATGTTCTCGAGGATTTGATTTAACCTGAGAGTTATAACCCCTAAAAATTGTGACGACATTGAATAATTTTGGACCTATTCGAGGAACATTCAGCTCGCAGATAGGAATATGAGGCGTAATGAAGACTTTTGTTTTCTACTTTCATTCTCTTCTATTTGAGTCATAAGGCAAACCATACTATTAAGGGGGGTGTAACTAAAAGTTGAGATTTAGGTCTCAACCCAGAACCTATATCTTTGAGTGAAAACTTAGAATCTCTTTGTGTGCTATGATTTTTTCTATGAGTTTGAGATGATGTTCTTCAGGACTCAGAAGAAGAGTCAGGCACTGTTGAGTCGACTTAACTTGTTTCGCAAGTAAGTCGCATGCTACGTTTGAAATTTGACCGTTGCGCCACGTGTAGGTTGTCCGTTAGTTGGTCAGTGCCCCTATTGCTCATTTCACACCTGAAGATTGCTCCGGCTATAAATAGCCACCCACTTCAACCTTAAGATGTTGGCTGCTACGTGAGAGAATTGACAAGAGCTTGTTAGAGCAAGCAACCCCTCATATTGAAAGAGATTGAGAGAATTCTAAGAGAATAAAAATCCCAGAGACTAAAATCTACTAAGTGATTGAGCGTCATTGAAGAACCAGTCGAAACTTAAATTAACCTATTACTCTTTTGGACTGTGCATCCACCAGATCGTTAAGTGTCTGTTCCGAGCCTCCAAGTAATTGTGAACGATCAAAGAACAAGTTTGTGAAGGTCCCAGAGATTTACCTCGAATATCTATGATGAGTGATTAGGCAAAGTATAAGTGACTTTAGCTCATGGAGAATAGGGTGAAGGCCTTGCCTTCTGAGTTAAATCTCGGCTCCTCCAACCAGATGTAGAGTTGTGCTAGTAACTTGAACCTATCGAATAAATCTTTGTCTTCGTC